ACAAGACAGAGGATCATAGGAGAAGGGAGGAAAAAAAAAATAAGCTGAAACCAGAGAGGGAGACAAACCATAAGAGACTCTTAATCTTAGAAAAAAAACTGAGGGTTGCTGGAGTAGTGGAGGGTGGGAGGGATGGGGTGGCTGGGTGAAAAAAAATGGGGAGGGAATGTGCTATGGTGAGCACTGTGAATTGTGTAAGTGATGAATCAAAAAAATGTACCTTTGAAACAAATAATACATTATATGTTAAAAAAAAAGATAGTAGGAAAAAAAAAATGAAGGGGGGAAATCGGAGGGGGAGATGAACCATGAGAGACTATGGACTCAAAAAAACAAACTGAGGGTTTTAGAGGGGAGGGGGGAGGGCGGATTGGTTAGCCCGGTGAAAAAAATTAAGGAGGGCACGTACTGCATGGAGCACTGGGTGTTATACAAAAACAATGGATTGTGGATCACCACATCAAAAACTAATGATGTATTGTATGGTGACTAACATAACATAAAAAAAAAAAAAAAAATAAAAATAAAGAAAGAAAGCTCAAAAAAAAAAATAAAAGGGACCAAAAAAATCACAGGAGGAAAATATGTTCTGCCATGTTTTAGAGAGATTAGAAGAACAGCTGATTGAGATAAAGGTCAATATCAGTACAGAATACATGGGCACTTGTCAATAGGAAGACAAAAAAAAATGCATGGGACACCGAGGTCTTGTTTCATGCATGCACAATCTTCCTTGCTTAAAAAAAATGAATCTGTAGCAAAATACCTGCCATCTTTATTGAAGCATTAACTAAAGGAAAAAAAATTACCTGGATGGCATCAACGTGGAATGATGCATGACATGTCACCTAGATACAAAGATGGAAGATCTGTCTTCAGGAAGGGCAGAGAGACCAAGTGAGGCAATGGGCTCAGGGTCAAGAAAGATCATTCCTGGTTGGAGCCTCAGGTGTGCTTCTTCCTGACTAGGTAAGGACTGTGAGGTTGTCATAGGCTGACTCTTTATAGTATTCTATCCCTGGGGGGTCAATATCAAAAAAACCTCATTAGACAATATTTTTAGTGTCCTTCTGATCCCTGGGCTCTGCAAATCAAAAAAAACCAAGACCATAGAAGAGAGGAATTCATGATGGATAATCCTTGAGCCTATGAAAAAAAATGTACATCATCTATTCTCCTTACTGTTCATGCTCATCTCTGTCTCACACACCAAAAAAACATATACTCACACTCTTTCTAATGAATTCTAGGCTTCTTTTTTTAAAGTTACAAAGGGAGGCTTCAGTATGTGATTAATGATATCTCGAAGCCTGATTCCAGTTTTAATGTAAAAAAATTATTTATGTACTGGGTGTAAATAATATATTTATAATATAGTTAAGATATTATAAAATTCAATCTCCTAGTGTTATTTCACCTTTAGATCATTGAATGTTTACTGTACTTTCTTTCTATTTCTTATATTTTACATGGGAATATATCATCGATTCTTTGAGATCATTGTGGAAAAAAACATGTAGACAGACTTTATACTCTCTTTTAATCTTTCGTAATCACCTGCTCCAAAAAAAACATAATAGATAAAGTGCACATTTTTCTTCCCACTGGGGGATTTTCGACTGAAAAAAAAATTTTCATTTTTATTTATTTATTTATTTTTGAATCTTTTTTGAGAGAGTGAGAAAAAAAAAGCAGCAGGGGGAGAGGCAGAGGGAGAGGGAGAGAGAGAATCCCAAGCAGGCTCCATGCCCAGTGCAGAACTGGCTTCATGACTCAATCTCATGACTCTGAGATTATGACCTGATCCTAAATCAAGAGTCAGATGCCTAACCAGCTGAGCAACCAAGGTGCCTCAAGGTTAAAAAAAATTTTGTTAAGGATTTATTTATTTATTTATTTTAGGGAGAGAGCATGTGGGAAAAAAAAGAGAAGAAGAGGGAGAGAATCTCCAGAGACTCCCCACTGAGTGCAGAGCTCAACTTAGGGCTTGATCCCATGACCCCAAAATCATGATGTGAAGGAAACCAAGAGTTCGACACTCAACTGACTGAACCACCCAGGTGCCCCAAGTTTCTGTATTTTTAATTGTGTCGTGATAAAGTACAGTGTGCAGTTTGTCCATCACTCAGAAATTTCATCTGTAATAATAGGCGTGAAAAAAACTGCATGTTAATATTCACTTGAAAACATTTTTCTTTAAGCATTTCAGTATTTTCATGTATTTACCAATGTCTTTCACATTTTAACTCTTTTTAATGGAGTTTTCTTAATCTATATTTTCAAAATATATTTCTTGAAAATAGGCTTTTGACAAGAATGCATTGTAATATCACTCTTCACCATGTTAACACCAGTAAACTTCAAACACATGAATAATAGGGAAATAAGAAGACTTAGCTGGGCTCAAAAAATGATAAAGCTTTCTATGTACCTCAAAAAAACAAAAACATAAAAAAAACGGTGGGCTGGAGCCAAAGGGTTCTGCTGATTTATGTTCACAGGTAAGTGGATACTTACTCTTCTGGGTAATGGGGATTAAAGAATGAAACTGGACCCCAATCTTTCACTACTCACAAAAGTCAACTCAGGATGGATTAAACACTTCAGTGTAAGATCTGAAACTATAAAACTCCTTGGACAAAACAAAGGGAATAACCTCATTGACATTGGTTTTGGTGATGATTTTTCAGATTTGACATGAAAAGCAAGACAACAAAGCAAAAATAAACATGTGGGAGTACATCAAACTAAAAAGAATCTACATAGGAAAAGGAACAATCAAGAAAATGAGAAGGCAACCTGTGGATGAGAGAAAATCTTTGCAAAGCTCATATCCAATAAGGGGTTTGTATCCCCACTAGATAAAAAAATCATACAACTCAATAGCAAAAACTCAAATAATCTTTTATTTTATTTATTTTTAAAAAAATTTTATTTATTTATTTGGCAGAAAGAGAGAGAGAGAGCACAAGCAGGGGAGGAAAAAAAAGAGGGAGAAGGAGAAGCAGGCTTCCCGCTGAGCAGGAAGCCCAACATGGGGCTCAACCCCAGGACCCTGGGATCATGATCTGAGCCAAAGGCAAATGCTTTTGACTGAGCAAAAAAAGCGCCCCACAAATAATCTGATGTTAAAATAGGCAAAGACCTGAATAGACAGCAAAAAAAAAAAGACATACAAATTACCAACATGTACATAAAAAGGTTCTCAACATTACTAAAAAAAAGGGAAATGCAAATCAAAACCTCACTGAGGTATTACTTTATACTTGTTTACATGGCTGTTACCAAAGACAACAAATACCCGTGCGTAGGTGAAGAAAAGGCAGCCCTTTTACACTATTTGTGGGAATATAAACTGGTTCAGCTGCTGTGGAAAACAGTTCCTCAAAACATTAAAAAAACAAAGGAGACCCAAATACATCGAAAGAATATTTTATTTTTGGATAGATATGCAAAAAAACGTAGAAATGTCAATTTGCCTTAAATAGCTTTATAGATTTAATGGAAAATCTGTGGTGCTATTGTACTTGAGAGACTGATTTTTAAAATTTGTATGAAAGAGCAATGGAGAAAGAATATTTGACTTGATGGCAAATAAGAACAGAGTAATTGGTTTCATATATATCAAGAAAAAAAATGGAGGTACAGTAACTAAAATGGTACGGTTTTGGAGCAGAGTGAAAAATAGAAAAAAAAAGACAGGCACATGTAGGAAGATTCTACTGAAGACAGATGCAGTGGACATTTTACTTAGGATAATGTGGCGTTGCAGGGGAAGGATGGTGCCATTCAACAAATGCTTTTAAGTTGTAGGACTCAACATATGGAAACAAAACAAATTGCTTAGCAGGGAACTGGCATTGTTGAAAAAAATGTTAGGATAAGGTTAACAGGATGATTGATAAAGGAAATGAGGCCTCAATTTAAAAAAATCCTTTCTCAAATTCATACAGGCTGTTTGCCTTATGCTGAGACTGAGAATGCAAAAAAATTCTCTTCACCTCTCTTTCTTAAATTCATATTTTACTTTTTATTTTTTCTAAAAAAAAAATTTATTTATTTATTTATTTATTTATTAGAGAGAGAGAGTGAGCGAGAGAGAAAAAAAAACAAGCCAGGGGTGGGGCAGAGGGTGAGGGAGGAGAAGACTCCCCACTGAGCAAAAAAACCAATATGGGACTGGATCCCAGGGTCCTGGGATCATGACCTGAGCTAAAGGCAAAAAAATAACCACCGAACTACCCAGGCACCTACTTTTCTTTTTAAGATTTATTTTTATTTATTTTAGACAGAGAGAGAGTATGTGAATGTGAGGAGGGGCAGAGGGAGAGGGAGAGAATCCTCAAACTAACTCCCCACTGAACACAGAGCCTGTCCTGGGGCTGGATCATAAGACCCTGAGAGCATGACCTGAGCTGAAATCAAGAGCCGGACCCTTAACTGACTGAGCCACCCAAAAAAAACTCTTTTTTAATTATATATTTAAGCTGTACATAATGATGATTTGATATACATACATAATGGAATTATTACTATGGGCAAGCTAATTAACATACCCATCTCCTCACATAGTTAAAAAAATTCTAGTGTCTGGCAGTTAAGAGCACATCAAATCTAGGCTGAGGCGAGTCCTCTGGCTATAATGACGTCCTTGTTTAGCACTTTTCCCACCCTATCCTTCTGTCACTAACATTTTCCTGAGAACAGGTCCCCTAAAATAACCATAGAAAGAATCCCTTACTCTGATTCTGAAAAAAAGGTTCCCCAAAAATCAAGTTCAGAGTGTTCACATAAATTTTCAAAAATACCCAAAAAAAAGAAACCAAAGTCAGTTTTCAAACCTAAGTTGAGCTCCCTTTATGGTATTTAAAAAAAAAAACATAAGAACTAAGAACTTGCTGAGGGAAGGGTCAGACAATCTGACTCACCCAGTATTCCTGTACTTTGACTCATTCTAGAAGCCAAGACCAAGGCAGATGACACAACAAACAAGACGTTTCTCAGATGAGTTTCTTCAAGGCTCCCTTCATGTCCTTGTTCCTCAGGCTATAGATAAAGGGGTTCAACATTGGAGGGACCACGGTGTACATCACTGAGGCACTTGCAAAAAAATTGGAAGAATGAATAACTGCAGAACTAATGTACACTCCAAAAGCTGTCCCATAAAAAAAAGAAACAACCGAGAGATGAGACCCACAGGTAGAAAAGGCTTTATATTTCCCCAAAAAAAATGACATTCTCAGAGTGGAAGAGACAATTTGAATGTAAGAGAAAATAATCCCAAAAAAAGGAACACCACCCAATATGCTAGTCACTAAATACACCAGGATGTTATTGATGAAAAAAAAAGAACAGGCAAGCTTGATGACCTGAGCAAGTTCACAGAAGAAATGGGGAATTTCCAGGTCTGTGCAGAAGGAGAGTCGAAGCACCATGAGACTGTGCAGTAGGGCATCTGCAGTGCTGATGCTCAAGGAGAGTAGAATCAGCAGGCCACAGAGGTGGGGGTTCATGATGAAAAAAAACCTCAGTGGATGGCAGATGGCCACATAGCGGTCATAAGCCATTGCTGCAAGGAGGAAGTTTTCCAACCCTGCAAAAAAGAGGACGAAGCTGACTTGGGTGAGGCAGCCTGTAAAAAAAATGGATTTGCTTTGTCTTTGGATGTTCACTAGCATCTTGGGGATGGTGGTGGTGCTGAAACAGATGTCAGTGAAGGCCAGGTGTGAGAGGAAGAAGTACATAGGTGTGTGGAAAAAAAAGTCAGAGCTGATAACCAGGATGATGAGCAGGTTTCCAAGTACAGTGACCAGAAAAAAAGTCAGGAACAGTCCAAATAGAAGGGGCTGCCATTCTGGATCTTCTGAGAGACCCAGGAGGAGGAATTCTGCTACACCTGTTTGGTTTTCTGGTCTCATGTTCTTGATGAGACTGATGGAAAAAATACAGAGGAGAGGACACATAACATGTACAAGGATCTCTTGTTTTAGAAAAAAATGACATGAATAATATTATTTTCTTTTTTTAAAAGTTTTTATTTAAATTCTAGAAAAAAAACATACAGTGTAATATTAGTTTCAGGTGTACAATATTGTGATCAACACTTCCATACAACACCCAGGGCTCATCACAGAATTGAATATTATTAATCTTTTCTGGGGTGCCTGAAAAAAACAGTCAGTTAAGCATCTGCCCTGGGCTCAGGTCATGAACCCAGCATCCTGGGATCAAGGTCCAGCATTGGGCTTCCTGCTAGGTGGGGAGCCTGCTTCTCCTTCTCCCTCTAAAAAAACCCCCTGCTCTCTCTCTCTCTCTTTCTCGCTCTGCTCGCTCTCTCTCTCAAAAAAAAAAATAATATTTTAAATTTTTTTCCTTTGCCTTTTACCTCTCTTTTGGTCTTTCTAAAAAAATCAACCTCTCTTGTTTTTGTCCTCCTCTTTCTTACACTACTCAATTACTCCAAAAAAAATTACTTGTTCCTCACACTGTGCCAAATAATAGGAATCAGATAGGAAAAATACATGTTTTTATTCCTTTAAAATTCTCCAGCTTCCAATTAGCAAGCAGGAAACTCACAACCAAAAAAAATTAAATCAGGGTTTCAGAGCAGAGTTTCTAAAACTGTGCCTTGCATGAGAATCCACTGGAAGTTTTATTAAAACTCACATTGCTGACCCCCCCACTCTGAATAGGCGATTAAAAAAAGGGCATCGGGCTGACAATTTGCCTTTCTAACAAATTCCCAGTGTTGCTGCTCTCAGTCTGAGTTTTACTTTAAGGACCCCAATTCTAGAGCATAGAAGACTGTGGGCATGGAAAATCAACTTGACCACAGGTTGGAGCAGACCCAGCATAACTATGGGGAAAATGGTGGCAAAAAAAATCAACATTCTGCAGAGTGAGCCTGCTGGGAGTTCAAACCCATGTCTCAGTGAAAAAAATTTATATTCTTTTTTTTCTTTCTTTCCTTCCTTCCTTCCTTCCTTCCTTCCTAAAAAAAACACTCTGCTTTTATTAACTCATTCTTAATTAAAAAATAGAATCTATCATCAAAAAAAAAGCCTCTTCATTTTCAGTTGGTCATCAAAATCTGCCTATTGAATATCCCATTTCCATTTCAGTGTCTGGTCATTGGATTCTATAACAAAACCCTTGCTATAATTGTTGTAAAAAAAAATAATAGCCTATATTATACAAATAAATATGATTATTTTAACTGCACATACTACAAAAAAAGCAGCATCTGTTGCCAGGCAGGGTCCTCAATACTTTTCTCATGCTCACTAATTTTATTCTCTCTACTGCCCTATGAGTCAGGTGCTTCTACCATCCTCCTGTTCACTCCTGACCTCAAGTAAGGAGAAAGGTCAAGGGGCACCTTGATGGCTCACTCGGTTAAGTGTCTGAAAAAAACTCAGTTCTTGATCCCAGGGTCCTGGGGTTGAGCCCTGCATTGGGCTCCCCGCTCAATGGGAGTCTGCTTCTCCCTCTCCCTCTCCCCTTGCTCATGTTCTCTGTCTCTCTCAAATAAATAAATAAAATCTTTCAAAAAATAAAAAGTTATGGATACAAAATCTTGACACAAAAAAAGGATGTGGTGCAGGGAATTGAACTCAGTCTTCCAGACTTTGGAGCTGAACTCAAAAAAACATGTGATGCATTCTCTGTCTAGTGCAGATTTAGGTGTCCTAAAGGGTTGATCAGACTTCATCACTTGCCTTTGAAAGTTTCCACCTGCATAAGACTGCAAATGTTTTCTCTGCCTGAAGTTCTTCTAATCTCTGACCACATAGGTAGTATGTAGCAAGTGACAGCTTCAAAAAAAAATCCACACTCAGAACCAGAGATCAAGATTATAATATGGTACTTTAAGCTGTTAAAAAAATTATTTCAGTGAGACTCACTTTTCTAATAACATTAGAATATTAAAACATTCTAAAAAAATGACACATAACACATCTATGTTTTTCCACCATACTGAAGAATTTGAGGAAGGAAAAAAAGCCTGGGGTCTTGAAGGAAAGAAAAAAAAAAAGCAACAATTTGTTAGTGTGTAAAAAAAAGAGTCCTGGAATGAGAAAGATAAAATCTACTGATACTAATGTCCAGGCTGTAAAAAAAGAGTGTTGCTACAGTGGTAAGAAGAGGAAGAAGATTGTCAGGTTAGTTTTAAAAAAAAAAAAGGAAATTGAGAAAGGTGTATCTGGATACCTCAAATGCCTTGCTGGTTGGAAAAAAAGAATTTAATCCATATAAATGACCTTAGTGCCTGCGGAGTGTGAAGGACTTGTTATTTAGGATGATCATGACAACTGGACGAGAAAGTGAGACCTTAGTTTTAGAAATGCTTAAAAAAACCTTCACCCAGGGACCCACCCACCCAACAACATATGAAATAAATACATGCATAAAAAAATTGTTTGACCACCAGTCACATTTTTTAATACATTTTCAAGATTTTATTTATTAAAAAAAGAGAGAGAAAGAGAGAGAGAGAGTGCAGGGGGAGGAGCAGAGGGAGAGGGACAAGCCAACTCCATGCTGAGTGGAACCTGAAGCAGGGCTTGATCTCACCACCTGGAGATCATGACCTGAGCCAAAATCAAGAGTCAGACTCTCAATAGACTGAGCCACTCAGGCACTTTAAAAAAATCCAAGGTAGCTTAATGAGATCTCTCCCTTCTTTTATTTCCCACTTTTTATGAAAAAAAAGGAAATAATCCCTTCTTACTCAGCAGTTTAATGGATTTTCTATTGCCTTTTTTTTTTTAAATAACAATTCTGTCCCTGTTATATAACAGACAATTTTAAGGAAAGAAATGTTGAAAATCAATAATAGAAATTCAGGTTCTCCTCTTTCTGTGTGTTTTAGGCCACATCAAAAAAAAGGTCAGGCAGCCTTGGCCACTCATTTCCAAAGGAATCCTTAGTTTATGTATCAAAAAAAACTCAAGGATACCTCTGTTTCCTTTGTTACAGTGAATTCCTGAGAATACTGTAAAAAAATCACCCAAAACAAGCAAGACATGGCTATGTCTTGGGTGCATCAGTGGATCTGAAAAAAATATATTCTTATGAACCAATGTTTTAGAAAAAGTCTGTGAAGGTCTCTTCTGTAAAAAAATCATTAAGATACTAATGTTTAGAACTGAATGGCCCTAGGTAATTTCTGTTTCAAAAAAAAGAAACTATCAGCCCTTAGCATGGAGTCATGAAAACAAGCAACCAATAGCATAAAAAAATATTTCAGTTCACGCACATATGAGTTTGATTCTGTCTCCATCACTTGCTTTGAAAAAAACTGTTTCTTTTCCACTGTGCAAGAAGCCTCGGTCTCATTTGGATAATAGGAACCATTATAAAACCTTATGGGAATGTTGCAAGAATGAGTGATGAGTAGATGAAATCACCAAAAAAAATGTTTGATATATGAGACACTCTTAATATTGCCTATCGTGATTTGTTTCTGCCAAAAAAACAAATGTACCACCTGGCATGGCTCATTATAAAAGGGAAGTGATAGGAGGGGCAAAGTGTAGGAAGAGAGGAGAAACAAAGAATATTGTTAGCATGGCAACCATAAATTTCAAAAAAAAATGGATGTGTTGGATCTCTTAGTGGGATAATTGCTTATGTAGGGAAACGGAAAAAAAAAATCTGGATGAACATCAAGAGGTAATGCTCATTTCTCATAGCCATATGATAAAAAAAAAAGCAACTAAAATGAATAAATTAGACCCAGATTATCAACACAAATATTAAAAACAAAAAAAAGCAAGTAATTTTCCTAACAAGACCTATATTATGATACAGTTTAATGTTTTAAAGTAACACTGATCTTGAACCTCTAATTTCTTACTATAAAGCATTTCAGGTTTACAAAAAAAAAAAAGAAAACTAAGTCCTGAGCACCTACCACTAAGGACCACTAAATTGAAATATATTCTCATATTTGTAGTAAATATTTTAAGAATTAAATTAATATTTATTTTTCCATATCCTAAAAAAATTTTTCTTGCCCAAGGGACCCACCACACTGAATTTGGCATTCATGATTCCCTAAAAAAATTAATATTTGAATAAAAATGCATAAACTTTTGTTTTGCATTTTAAACTTGACATATTGTACATTTTGCATTTGGTTTTTAAAAGTAGTACATTCAATGTCTTGGTACATTTTTCTCTGGTTCATTAACTTTAAATATCTTACTTTATTTTCAGTGTTTTATTACATCACAAAAAAAATATCCATTCTCCAACTGAGGCATTTTATAGTTGCCTTTTATACATACACACAAAAAAAAACAATGTGTAAATAATTTAAGTAACATGTGGAGAACAACCAAATTCAAGACTATGGTTGCCTCTGGGAATGGAGGGGAACATAAAGGGATGCTCTATTAATTCATGCTACTAAAAAAATTCAAAAACATTTTAATTTTAATTCTAGTATAGTTAACATACCATGTTATGTTAGTTTCAGATGTCCGATATAGTGATTCAACAATTCTGTACATTACTCAGTGCTCATCAAAAAAAATGTACTCTTAATCCCCTTCACCTATTTCACCCATGCCCAACCCAACACCACTCTGATAACTAGCAGTTTTTTCCATGTTATTTTGTTATTTAAGAAAAGAACTCTGAGGGCAAAAAAATGGCTCAGTCATTAAGCGGCTGCCTTTGGCTCAGGTCGTGATCCCAGGGTCCTGGGATCGAGTCCCACATCGGGCTCCCTGCTCAGCGGGAAGCCTGCTTCTCCCTCTCCCAAAAAAACTGCTTTTGTTCCTGCTCTCGCTGTCTCTGTCTCTGTCAAATAAATAAATAAAAAAAAAAAAAAAAAAGATTAAAAAAAAAGAAAAGAAAAGAACTCTGTGTGGGAAACAGAAAAAAAGCTCCTCCAAAAGTTAAAAATAGAACTACCCTATGATCCAGCAAT